GCCAGCGTTTTGGAAAGGGCAAGGTTAATGCGGTAACTATTATCAAGCATGACAAAGTGCAGATTCCAGTTCCAAGAATAAGCAAGAACGAAACTGCTGAAATAAAACACAGCCTTGAGAGTGGTCACCGCAGCTATCAATTAAAAGAACTGCGTGATAGGTCCCATCCACCAAGGCAGCTGTCACCAAATATGATCCCTCCTAAACCAAAAAAATATATAACTGAAATGGTTTCCATATGGATCGCCGAAATAGAATCACTGGAAAATTTAGAGGTTGATTCTGGAAAAAAAAGAGAGAAACAAAATATGCTTCGGTGTAAGGATTATTTTTTTTTACGGTCAAATGTGTGACCTCTTAAGCTTCATGGCAAATTTGCACCGAGAGGGGTTTAAAAGCATAAGCTGCATCAAAGAAAAGAAAAACATAAAGCTGGCACACCAGTATACGTAGTGACCCCCACCGCCATTCCATTAGGCATCTGTGCCTAATGGAATGAGGTGCAGTTCAAAAACTGCTTCTGGGGGCTTAATCGAAGCGAGTTGTCCAGGGCTGAGCTCCGGAAAAGATTTCCCTGCTCTGACCCCACCTCCTCCCACTGTCTGGTGGGGGTGGGGGGAAAAGTCTTAGGTGGGGGGAAGAGAATATAAGTTGAGGCCCCCCAGAAAATATTCCATGAGGAATTAAGCCCTGATTATTGCAATACCAAGAGGAGTGATGCCGACTCCACAATCCACATAACTGACGTGGGTGACATTTGCTATGTTTAGACAGCACACAGAATTGGCAAACTGTAGAAATTCTTGCGGTTTTTGTCTCCTGCCATATGAGCTGTTATATGTCAAAATTGTAGATCCTATCATTACTGTTCCACTCAACACTTCAACATGCAAAAGACACCGCTTTTCAGATATAAGCACACTTCATGGATGCGTGTGTGTGTAAATGTTGCCAAAGTCCAGCTTGCAAAATAAATGTTCATCTCAGTGGATTCCTACATGAAAGTTTGAGGAATACGTTAACCTGCTACAATTTGTATTATTTGGGTCTTTCGGTAAAGTCACATAGAACATTGTTTTTACAAAAACTATTACATTTCGATCGCGACACAAGCAATCGTCAAAGCTCTAATTCAAGATTTCTGCTACAATTTGATCAGGTGTCAGTTTTTTTTTTTTTTATCGCGGGTATGATGTTAAATTTCATCCGGCGATGATGTCACCTAAAAAGAACCACTGTTGAAGAAGGCAAGGGGAAACCATCAGTGTCTCCATCCGCCTCCAGTTATCGCTCAGAAAGTATTGGACGGAGTTGAGGAGTGGGGAGCTGAATGGGATAGTGTAGAGGCAGCTTGAACCATAGACCTGCCGTTGGGCCAGAGAACTTAAGAAGAATACGAATAAGAGAATATGCTGGTTTTTAATTATCAGCCTATCGAGGGGGCTGGATGACCTCATAGTGTGCACACAGAGTCAGTATTATCTGCTCGCGCATGGCAACATGTTCAGGAGCTAAATGCCAATGTCGAGGTCTGCTAGCCACGAGAGAGCTTCAGGAGAGAGTTCATGTATATTCTTGGTTCTTTGGTTAATAGTGTTGAATGGCCACATTCGCACTGTCATTGATGTTCTGATGCGGTTGATGGTACACCGGTGTCCTATAGGAAAATCAAAGCCAGGAGGTGCGATGTCTGGATCTTGATGAAGATTACCAGTGAGTAGGGAAAGCGTTCCTGAGTGTCGCTGATGTCATTTGCGAGATCAGGCTGCTGTGTACCAGCCGCGGGGCCAGATTAAAGCAGGAGCCTGGGGCCCTCACAGTCTGAGGAGTGACTGAAAATACGTGGACTGCTTTATAACGGTGAAAATGCAATTCAGTAGCACCGTGATGAATGCTGATGGTGATTCGGCCATTAAAGTAATCGCATTGCGACTCGGTATAGACCCCAATTGAAATACTTTTATTGCTTTTATTTGCAATCAGCGTATGGCCCTGTTTTCTAGTGGCATAGTCCAAATGCCAAACTGGAATGTTACCCATCATTACATTGCCCTAGTGTCAATAATACAATGATCAGCTAGATTCCCCTTGCAAATAGATCAAGCATCTCCACTCACTGTTACCTGCTTAAAACGTGGATAATTACTTTTATTTTATTCAATGCACGTGCAATTCGATAAGTTACTCCAGTTTTGGAGCCCAAAAATATGATTTCTTGGTCTGCCCAAGTATTTCTGTCCAAGTATTTTTAAAAGATGTATCTATGTTTTACCATATGTAGTGAAAAATCATCTTTTGCTTGACAGGAATTTGACATGCATAAACATCAACTTGAAAAAAATATTCAAGCCACTTTTGGGATTTTGTCCAGTGATACAGCCATATTAATCACAGAATCTATAAGCGCATTTGCACACTCATAGGGAGCTCACGAGCCCATGGGGTTGAGATTCCTATACAACTCATGTTGTAGTGTGTGGTTGTTTCTTTAATTCTCTGCTGAATACTGTGTGACATTAGAGTCTGCAATTGCCATCACTCTTAGTCATGTCATCTTCAAATACCAGAGCCATCAGACAATGGTGATGGGGTGTCTGTTTCCAATGCGCAGTAAGCTGTGTGGCAGCTGCAAGTTGTATCAATTGCTTCTGGCATACAGCGGGAGAAACATGATATGCCGCACACGGCAGTGGACAGTTGGCCAGCAAGGCTAAGAGGACCACACAGACATCAAATGCAACGCGATGGCATCACAGATGGCCCAAGTATGTGCCACTTCCTTCGAGGAGAGAAAATTAGGAAAATTATAGTTTTAGAGTTTGGTTTCTCTCCTCTGGGGCTAAACACGTGGAGTGATTAAAAAAAATCTTTAAATTAAAAGCGATTAATGTAAGTTAAACAGACAGTTAGACAGCCTTTCTGTCCACATCTCAGCGCAGCAACTGAGGGCTTTCCAAACAGAAGTGTTTAAGTTTTGACAGCGGCAGCAATAGCCTTTCCCCTACACACAACATGCGTTGTGTGATTTGGACGCACACATTTACTGTTGTTGCTTCATTCCACATATTCCGTCAGGATCCTCCTGAGAGAATCGTTCAGACTCTCTGCCACATGCTCTTCACTGCAGCAACCAAGGCCACCTGTCAAAGCCTCCAGTCAACTTCCATTCAGTGGGTGATCCCACCTTCTGCGCTGATGCCCCATACTGTTTGGAACTGATCCCTGGCGCCATCCCATCTGCACTGCTGACTGTATCCCCCTGTCCGAGTGCGGCTTTAGACCTTCCTCTTCTACAGCTTGTACCGTGTCTCCACGGTGTTGTTGGGCTGTCCCGCGTATTTTTCGGCATGATGTCCGACGTTCTGCTGCAAACTCCTCTTAAAGGCCTTCGTGTTTTCCTATTCCTAGGACTGACTGTATGTAGTTTGTTTAAAAGGATTTAACCATGGGTTGATAACTTTATTTGCTTCGTAATCGTTGCACTTGCGGTACCTGCTTTTATAATTTGCTTTTGGAGCCCATATCTCCCTTGATATCATTGTAATCTCAATAGTTGTAATCTTAATAGATTCTCAAAAAATGTAAGCAAAGAGTTTGTTTCAAAGACACATTTTGGCCATATACATCTCTACAAATGTCTCCATCAGCTTCGACATTATATTCCCAAGCCCCCGGCTTTCCCATTTCACCTGTGCAGCCACCAAACCTGAAACCAATAGACCACAAAATAACAAAGACTTCTTGAAACAATCGCCAGCAGCATTTTAGACATTTACCAGAGGGCTACTCCTGAATCTATCCACTGACTCGATCACGAGCCTCGATAATAGCGCCCTGAGAACGATTATTTAAGGGCGCCTTATCAATTTAAATTATTATCATTACAGAAACACTGCTGATTAATTACCCATATTCAATAGTGTGGCAGGCCACGCAGTAGTTATATGCCAAATTCTTGTCATTAAACCCTACACGACATCATGAAATGTCTTCCCCTATGTGTATACCATCTCGAGATATAATCACCTTTAGACATTTTTTGGGATTGGATTTGTCTTGTAAAACTATTATTATTAATCATAACAATTATAATTTAGATGTATATATAGCGTCTTCATCCTTCAGACAGCATCTCAAGGTGCTGTACAAGAACAACTATTTTAAAGAAAATAATACGGAGGAAACTTTAAAGATTATAGAGACCATCCACAATGGGCTAGCACGCAATAATTATGCGTAAAATGAAATAGGGATAAAATTGGATAATATATTAAAACCTAAACACACCATCTGGGCAGATGTATCCAATCCAATCTCATAAGGGGGAACCAGCATAATTAATTGTATTATTATTTATCTTGATGGTAAAGTTGACCTTGAGGAAATAATTACAAATACAGAGGTCAGATGATGGCATTGGTACCTAGACAGAATTCAAACCCAGATAATTCGGATTGTAATCTGGTGATTCAACCATTGTGCCACCACTCCTTACACTCACAATGTTCCACAGCAACAAAGGCTGATAAAATGTGCCACTAGGCTGCTGTGACATCACCATTTCGTGCTCTTTGAGGCCATATAGAGTGGTGAATGCTTATTGGCATGGCAGGCTCACAGGACAGACCCAGATGTTGTGGGTCAACCCTAAACAAACACAAACATTCCCCCATATAGCCTTCGTAGAGTGTTGCTGCAACTGCTGTCAGTGGACACATACATAGGTCAGGACGGCACACAAGGGAGTGGTGTAGCCAGCACCACACCTGGCCATCTTTGTCTCCCCTGTGCCAATGTTTGTACGCGCCACTTGAATAGATACTCATTTAAGGCTGAGTCCACCTAGGGGAGACTCAGGGTTGAATCTGAAACCAATCGGGACTGATCTTAGCCATGAACGTGAATCAAACTCGGATTGCCTGATTCGTGGTGCAGTGCACTAACCACTGCGCCGCAAGCTCCATCCCACATGACGCACGTACACATGCACACATATTTACCTTGGGAGAAATTTCCAAGAGTGGACAGCGGAAAGGTGAATGTGGAGGAGCCCTTCCACCCATTATTGCCCGCGTCAGCCACTTCAGTTGAGTTGGGGTCAGCGGGAAGGTGGCAGAACTTGCCCGTGTATCCGGGCTGGCAAAAACACTTTTCCTTGGTTATGCAGTGCCCCCCATTATGACACGGGATTGAGCATACCACTGTGTGGTAAACAAAAACAACAACAACAACAAAGAGAACAAAAACACACATTAGAGTGAAGCCAAATATGACAATAACGGTACACCACGGCACACACAATTGTCTCAATGTCTCAAGCGTGTATGCACACAATTTGTTTAAAGCTGCGCAATTTGTCAGAAAACGACACATTCAGACAACGTGATTTGTATTCGCTGGTGATACCTGAAACTGGCCCTTGCCTCCCTTTTGCCAAGCCGCATTGACCAGAACGGTGAAGTATGGTCAAAAACGCCCAAAACCTACGTGGCACGAGGAGGTATTCATCCATCAATGGACTGATGAAGGTTTGTACTTTATCATGATTCTTGTTATGAAATAATTAAGTGGCTTGGTGCAATAATATTGTTCAGCATTTGAAGAATATGAATTAGAATGTGTAAGTTAAACTAAAACAGGAAACCCATCATGGTGAAGGGGTTTAAAGGTTATTTTGGCAAAGAAAGTATGTGTGCATCAATCAATCAATGTCTTGTGTTGAGACTTAACAAGGGCCAAGTTAAAAATAATACTGGGCTTACAAGGCACTTCACGTAAGTCTGGATTATATGAGATAATTTCCTACAATTGCATGTTTTTTTAAGATTGTTTGTCTAAATTCCTAATGCAAACTGCTTGCAAGTCAAAGTCCATGCATTTTTGGAAGGTTTTGCTGTCAGTTGTTGGTTTACAAAGAAACAACTGAGGCCGACCCAGAGGCCAAAGATAGCACAGAGGCACATTAGTCGAGGAATGTCTTAAACAGAGGCAAATCAATGTAAACCTATCTCTTCTAAGAATGTCCTTTCATGCTGCAGACAACGTTTTGTTGTATCCCTTAAAGCACTGAGGAATCCAAATTAATAATCTCCAGGTGATGGTTTTGAATGTTCAGCTATTAACTTCATCAACATTACCATCAATATAGCTCTCAATATTTTTTTTTTGCACCATCTCTTTCGATTCACGTGTTCATTTCCTTGTTAGACTAAAATATAAAATTTACTTTCACAGGCACGTAACTTTTACTGGTGTCTCTTGCTCTCAAATTATATTTTAACCTTTTTTTTTATTCGCGTGTGTTCCGTTTTTACAACCGCGACATACCTCATTTGTTACCGGTGCAATATTCCTCGTGGACCCTGTACTCACTCTCCGCAATGTCGATGTGTCTGCCTTCATTTGGATGTTGCTGTGCTCACGGCAGCACCACGCATCTCAATTGTAAAATAGCTGGGCAACTGGCTAAACGGGACCTATTTCGTTATAACAAAAAAAATAAACTCAAACTTTCAAGTTGTACCATGTGCTGTTTGGCATGATGTCCGACGTTGCACTCCACGTGCCGGGAGGGCTCCTTAAAAAATTTAACTGAAATTCTACTTGTTCAGAAACTGAAGTCGGTTTAAAGCCGTCAGTACGTTGGGGCGAAAAGTCCACCATCATGCTGCTAAACAACACGTAGCAAGACCAGGGACTCACACTGGAGGGATATATACAGCACCACTGTGAACACCGACGCACTAATATTACCCGCAATAGTTAAATTAGCTCAAGATTTATTTTAAAACTTTAAAAACTAAAACTTTATTATTTAAGGAATGTTTATTTCATGGTTTCAATATTGGACACTTTTTTGACAGTGATATACTTGCGCAAACAAGTTAATTAACAAGGCCTTACAAAAAACACACGATCGTTATCAACCGTGATCAATCCACTGCCGGATGAAGGCCTCCCCAAGACATCGCAATCTCTCACTCTCCTGTGACGTAATAATGCACCGAGCACCTACTCAGGAATTGATTTCATCACTCGATCGCTCCCTTGGATGCTTTCCATTCATTGGCTGCAAAAATTACTTTAGACCATCAATCATAATGCCTTTGAGCTACGTGTCACGCCCAAGCCGACTTACTTTTCCTCACGGTTTGAATTATGGCAAAGGCACGACATAAAACAAGTTAGATACGTATTGGGCTATGACCCATCTATCCCTCGACAGCGCTGAAGACCAACGACAGGCCCGGCTGCCTCTTTGGCAGCAATATTGCCTCCCTCCTCTCCGCCGCCGCCTCACATGGGTTCACCTTCCCGTGAAAGTGCCGCTCTAAATCATCGCTACAAGACAGCTACAAGCCCTCGCTGCGGAGGGGCTGTAGCGACGTCAGGAAACCACAGCCTTCCCCGTGTCAACAGGCGATTCATCAAGCGCGCCGTGCCTGCTCTTAGCGGCTTGCTTTGGCACAGCCGGATTGTGGGCCACTGCGGGGGCACCTCGTGGCCTGCTGGCTCCCAAGTCGCGAGTGTTTACAAGGTGCAGTGCCTGTGACCAGCGTTGTGGGGAAACGCTGCAAGCCCATCTGCGGCGAATTTAAATTTGTAAGAGGTGCAAAATGTATTCATAGGTCTCTGCAATATGCCCTTCAGAGTGAACAGTTTAAGTGTTGCACCGCAAATTGTTCGGTTTGATGTCCGACATTTCGCTCCATATGTTGGCAGCACCTTCAGGAACTGAGTGTTCTCATGCTTAAACGATCATTGGGTGGTGTTTTTCAGCTTTGGTGGGCCTAGTTTAAGTCAGTGATGGTAATTGTGAATTGCTATGGTGGGGACCATTCTCTCCAAAAAGACCAATGATGACTTCTCAACAGGTTTATAAAATACAAATGAATGTTGAAAACATTACGATGTGAATCGGGACACTGCATTAATAATGTTTTAAGATGAAACGTGAAAAGGAAAGAGTCACTATAACCTAAAGAATCCCCATTTTTGTACAAATAACGTAACGTAATACTATATCATATACTACTGCATTCAATTGTAAAGCTAATCCCGTAAGCCGCACGTGCTATTAACATCTTGATCTCCATACATTTTTTTGACTGCCCCTCTTTGGATATGAACATTAGTCACCTCTGTCGAACGAGAGCTCTCATTTCATATTTCTGGCCACTAAGTATTGGTGGCACATCAACTCGCAGCTTGGGCGCTGAGAGAACGAAAGACTCCCAGAGAGGCGCAAAAGGTTTAAGCTTTTGTCACGGTGCCTGTCAAAATGCTCATTGCCGGTGTGTGCTCAGGCAATTAATAATAAACAAAGAACGCAGGGGCCAAAGGTTTAGTTCGTTTGAATTTAATGCTCGCCGGTTTGTTGGCATAGTAAAGTTAGCAGGCATATGCCTCAGAAAATTAGCTCCATAATTCTCAGAGGGCACCGAGTTATAGGAATGCGCTTAACTTTCACCCATTCACAATTTGGCCACGTTCGTGGACAAAAAATACATCTTTGTGTGTGCGCACAAACACGTAGAGAAACAAGTTATGAGACCTTGACTTTTCGGTCAATAAATGTTCTAAATTAGGGTAATAGGCATGCGTATGCATACCACACTTACAAGACCTTGAGACCACTGTAACGGCCTCATTTTTCTACGCTGACAAAGGATCTCGGGGGCTTTCAAAAGCCTCTTAAGGTGAACGCTTTTCCATTCCTCACTAAGTGAGGCCTAACCATCGTGACAAATGGGGGTTGCCACTTTTGACGAACATTCCTAAAAAAATCTAAATAATAGCACAGAGTAAATGCGCCAGGGCCGACTGCAGCAATAACCAATTCGGCTCCTGTGGACACAGGGCCCCCTTTGTGCGAGCACGGTTTGCATTTCCCTAAATGTAATGGTGGCGACGAGCGCGAGTTTGAAGGCGAGCTGTACGTTTTCAATCGGCCGGCGCTGAATGACGCAAGTTGTGTTCCCGCGTGACACATACGTGACACGTGCAACAGCGCCCAGGACGGCAAACCGTGTTCATGTTTGTTTGCCAAAACGGTCCTCCTGCCACTCCGGGGGCCTAGCAATGCTGCGCATGACAATCGCACGAAACTCACCCTACGATGAGACGCCCCAAATTAAGGGGGGAGCCTCAAGGTTATTGGAGCCTCCAGCGTAAGTCACTGATGGGCTACACTTGCAGAGAGATAGAGGCACCGACGGATGGACGGATGCCCAGATAAAATGGGATGGGTGGACGGCCTCGTGCGGGCAGGCACAGACAAACAAGGAGAAGACCCTCAATGGTCCACCAATGCAAACATATGGACAGATGGACAAACAGATAGATAGACGGGTAGGTAGACATACTGACAAACAGACAGATGGTGGATGGATAGATGAACAGACAGACAAACAGAAGGCAAATACAGACCGAAAGATAGACAAAAATAGACAAGACATGAATGGACAAACATATGTGTATAACCAACACATGTATGGACAGACAGATTAGTGGGCATACGGACAACAGATACTCAAGTCAGACACATAAGAAAATATACATGCCGACAGCCCGTCCGTCGCTGGCTCACCAATGCGGAACCTGGAGCTGTGTGGAGGGTAGATCATGCGGCCGTGCTCGCTGATGAGGGTGGTCACATTGCCCTTGGAGCAGCTGTGGCGGCAGTCTCCTCGCGAGCAGTCCAGCGTGCAGATGGTGGGCGTGAACACCACCTTGATGCGCTGCGGGACTGGCGCGGCACCCATCGTGAGGTCTCCTGCACCGCACAGAGCCGCACGCCGTTACAATCGGAGTGAGCCTCGAGCAGACACTGGCTGCGAGTGGTTCTGCCAAACAGGATTTTTGTTTTTCCCGGAGATCGTCTGAGGTTTTCCTCTGTTCCTCGTGATGTAATGTAAGGGCGCAGCCCCGTAATTTCTTGCTCGTGCCATTGCTGGCAGAAGAGCCTCCACTAAAAGGAGCTCTCGACAAGCCCTCGGGTATCTCTCTAGAAGGTAAAGTTTTGTCCGCTTTTCCACACTGGCCAGATGGCTTGCAGGAGGTGGGTGTACCCACAATTGACCCAACCAAATGCAACCGACTGACCGACTAACTGTGGTTAACCCATGTATGCTCATGACGGGACAGAGGCGAGAGGATTACACGTGCCCATTGTCTAGACTGCTGCGTCAGGGGATTGAATTAAACCGGAAGCCTCTGGATTGCGAGTCCAGCGTAACCTATCATTACACTACTGTGGCAACATCCCTTTACTATGAAGTGTTTGTTTCCGAATTCTACAAATGCTCAAGATGACTTGGCTTGGCTCTGATGATTGGGTGTTTCCGCAGAATTCTACAAACGCCAAATATGATTTACCATGGTTCATCGAGTCTTGGGCATTTCCACTGATGCTACAGTTTCAGAATAAGACTTAGTTTGGTTCTATGTCTTCCGTGTTTCCACAGGATACTAAGAATTATTAACACTTCAGTTTTAATTAGGCAACTTTGCAGTGATCCATAGCATTTCATGTTTCATTTTACATGCTTAATTATTTAGAACTCTGCTGTGTATTGCATTCTAAAAAGTTTATGTAAAAAGTAATGACTATGTCTTCATACGTATTCACGCTAACAGTTCGGCAGATTTTTGAGATGAAAGTGATCAGACGTTAATTTACATGCATGGGAAAACAAAACATATCAATTAATTATTTCAATAGCAGTGCTTTACCCTTATCTTTCCTTCACTCAGCTGTGTCCACTCTCCTTTGTTAATGGCCATGTTTCTGATCCATATGTCACAGCAGGTAAATCACATTGGCTAAAATCTTTCATCTTTAGGCAAATTGGTATGTACTTGACTTAAAGCTTTCGTGACTGCAGGAATTGGTGATATTTTTGTTTTATCTACATAGCTTTACCGAAAGACCCAAAGAATATAGTATGTACTTTTCATGATTATAATGCTTAAGGTCAACTTCCAACTCGGTAATCAGTAATTTCCGTATGTAAACGCATCACCTGCACTCGCTTCAGCATAGATCCGCTGACACACAAAACAGATTACGGATCTACCACATTGTTAGGCCTGGATGCTTCATAAGTAACCAATTGCTTTTTCGATTTAAAGCTTTCGTGACTGCAAGGATTCATCTTCTTTGGTTCTTTCGGTAAAGTCACCTGATGAAGGCCACTTGTGTTGTGGCCGAAACGTCGTGAGAATATTATTGTGTTATTTTATTTTATCAATTTATTAGTTTATTCTCATTCTACGTGACTTTACCAAAAGAACCAAAGATAACCAATTGCTACTTATGAAGCATCCAGGCCTACGCCCAATTGCTGATCCTGTCATCTCAATAAGGTGCCAGGCCTGCTGTACACACATGGCCAGAGCTCGCGACTCCCGGTTCCGTTGCTATCGGCAGCCTCACCTCGAAGAATTTCAAGTCGCTTTGAAAGGGCGTTAGATTTACGGTGCCATTGGACACACTTTAATGGGCAACATCCTCGCCAAGTCACGTGACTTTCGCCTCCTCCCGCGTGGAAATTTTTAACGCTTAAGCTGCCCGTGGAAATGTAATCTTCCTAAATCCCGCCGTAATGTGCAACAATGTACGGATTTATTGTGTGTGGACAGGCCAATTGTGAGCTCATCCCAAGATGAAAGAACACGGTGATCAAAACTGCTGGAGTCGATTAAGAACTACATGGGATTAATTATGACACAAAGCGGAAATCAATGCTTCAGTGGGAGAAAACTATTATACCTTATTATTTTTAGGACAGCAATTATTATGTATTGCAACAAGATGTACATCATGCACTTCTTTTTCACAGAAAAGGTTCAAGCTAGCAACTGTAATTATAAATCCCGTGCAGGCTCTGTTAGCGACCTGAACAATGTTAACAAATGATATATTGCTCAACAAAATACACTGAACTGGAAATAGTAAATGTTTCCAAATGCTTTGGTGTTTTGAACAAAATAACGTCTTTCTCTGTAGCAGCGGTGGAAGCTGGATGGGACTCAATTTGGCGGGCGTGAATGGCAATGGCGCTTACATAACTTGCCCTGTGGCAGAGAAGCCGGGGGACTGGGTTACAATTACGCCAGTCCCCAGAGTTCTTTGTTGCTCTTTTTTTCCTGGTGCACCAGCCAGAAGTATTTGGGCGACAGAGGTAACACTCAAATTTTTATTTAAAGCTTTCGTGACCGCAGTCATTCATATTCTTAGCTCTTTCGGTAAAGTCACGTTGAAGGGAAACAATAAAATAATAACATATATATAAAACAATACAAATTCTCACGACGTTTCGACCGTAACACAAACGGTCGTCATCATATATTTTATTATTTTATTGTTTCCCTTCAACGTGACTTTACCGAAAGAGCTAAGAATAAGAGGCAACACTCGTCGTGCCTCGCAGCAACAAAACGGACCTGGGCTCGATGTGTGACGCGGGCACCTTCCAATGCGGCGTTTGTGTTTTATCCCTGTCACGTGTAGGCTTCATTTGGGTTCTCTAGACTCCTGCCATAGCTACAAAATAAAAACCATGCAATGCACCTGGGATTTGCCAAACATCCCAATGCTGAAAAAATATCTGAAAATTACTCAATTTGGACTACACATAGCAACATCCATCTCTCTACAGCCAAGACTTCACAAGACCCTCCTGAAAAAAGTGTCTTAATACTTACTGAGGCTTTCCTGGTTAAACAAGCATAGCGATAATAATTGCATCGGGTGAGGAAGATCTGTGACACAAGAAGGCATAGGTTCTAGTCCAAACTAAGTTTATTTGTTCAACCAGGGCAGAACTCAAGAGACCAAGATACTCTCATTTTAAAGGTTGACCTGGGGCATTAGTTTAACAGCAGGGGGTGACAAATGCGATGTATAATCCCAACTACGTCATTTAGGTTCAGATTCCTGACTAGGTTACGCCTTTAAGAAGTGGATTACATTGTTTGTGTTATGGATCTACATTCAGATTGTCCAATGCATTAGCTTGCCAATGTAATAGATCTAATGATGAGCAACAGGCCTCAGAACATTGGTCCTGTGTCAAATGTTTCCATAAACTTATTCAAAAGCGAGGTTGCAAATGGTCCAAGCTGAGCATGTTCAAGAAATGTCACGTACCAGAACATCAGCAACATGTGAGATCTCTCAGGATACACACTTATCAAGTAAAAACTTGCAGAGATCTTGGTGACATGTGAATGATGATCTCGGGAGTACTTGAAAAGGTACAACTCAGGGCAATGCACATTTTCTGCGGTACATCTCAGTGTTCTTGAGATACGATCATGAATCCCCTGACTTACCTGGCAACCTCAGCATTGTATCTGTACCAAATACAGTCTGGTTATTGTGTGTAGAAACCGATTTAACACTCATCAACACTAAAGACCACCCATTCGGGAGAAAAGAGGCAACCTTGCACTTTTTTTGCCAAAGATTGGCAAAAACACAGTACTTTTCTACCAATGCATGAATCACAGTGAAAATAGTTTTTTTTTATCCTCATGTGCTTTCGTACAGGGACACTGCTGTGGTGTCATGGTTAGCGCACTGGACTCATAATGCAGACGTTGAAGGTTCGATTCAATCTCCCAGTGCTGCAGTCGAAACGACGGCCACACTTGTTAAAACTTCTGCTTCCATCCACCCAGCAGTATCATAAACGGGAACGCCGCAGTCAGTCAATTGGCAAATGGCGTGTGGTGGGGGGTCAAGTGTGAGCGCTCCCAACTCCTCCCACGATGGATTATTGGCCATCGCGTGGAAGACTCGGCCAAATACGCGCTTGAGCTCCCTGTAGACGAGGCCCTTCTTCGAGTGGTGAAAGCGAGCAAGTATATTTCAGGCCTGCACCTTCACGCTCGACTTTGCTACTCTCACCGTTGCTTGCGGTGGCGTCCATTGGCTGATCGTTTTGCGGCGCCTGCCCAGCCGAGGGTTTCCCGGGGGCCACCGCCAACACTCGAGGCCCGGATTGGAGCAGGGCCTGGTGGCCTTGGGCCCCAGGGCGGGCCTGGACGTGGGGCTGCGCCTGGAGGTGGACTTGCTGAGCGGGGGCATCGCGCCCTGTGATGCGTGGCCTCAGCTGCTGGCTCCACGCTTGTGCCGATGTCTGCGCGGAGCCGCCCGGCGCCAAAGACACATGCGCCACGTTGCTGTGAGGAGGGGGGAGAGACGGAAGAAAGTGACAATGTGAGTAGAATTGTTACATAGGTTTAATGGTCAAGCCCTCTCTGATTGCAAACATATTCCCTCCTTTGGTGTTTGTGCCAGACCCTTCAGCCTATCTTAATTCTCTCACACAATATGGATTTTACTGAGGTGGCTAGTACATGGCAGCATAGTAATGGATTATTTTTGTACATATATGTTTTTATTGCAACATAATGTGAGCCCCGGTACATCACGCCGTCCAATACAATTCGGCACAACATGACCACACAACGGGGGGGGGGGGGGGGAGAAAGAAGAATTTAGGGCCTGCTGCTCCAGCCAAGTGGGGACCCCGTGCAGGGGGGAGATGAAGATCTAAGTGGGGAGGGAGAAGTCATGGATTCTTAAATATATCTGTTCAGAGCTTAGCATGTTACGCTCTTGCATTTACGAGAATTTATCTGGGTAATCCAGCGCCCTGCAACATCCTAAACACTCAAATGGAACTGGACAAACTTTGCATCGCAGAACCATCCGGAAAAAAAACGGCTCCACTCTCAGTGTTTTTCAGGGTAAAATGTGCTATTGTATATATATACAATACAATAAATAGTTTAGTTCACCTAATATGCCGTTTTGGATTGGTAACCACCAGGGCACGCGCCAGGTGTCGCGCGGGGCTTACGAGGTGGCCCTGCGAACAGCAGGGCCCAGCGTCAACCTCCTCGTTTTCACCATGAACTCTGTTTTTCTTTCACGCGAAGCCGCGAACACTCACTGATGGAATTAGAAAACATCCAATGCGGAACGCTCCTGAGAGAGTCTCGAAACTCACTCGAGGCCCTCGTGTGCACCCAATAAAAATGAGGGTACAGGTTTCCCTCGCTTTATGCAGGAGATGAGTTCCAAAAAATGAGGGCGCACAAAGCGAGATCGCACCGCACAAGACAGCTGTTTGCCGAGTCGCACATTCAGCGCAGTGCACACAATCTTGTCCCACGTCCGAACGCATAGCCGCATAGCAGTGAGTTAAAACCGCACGTAGCGAATTTTTGGTAGAAATATCTTAGCCGCGAAATTGCACAATCCACATAAAGCGAGAGCAGCATGTATTGTACAACATACTTACATTCAATGCTAGAGTACAGAGTATAATAATCTCAGACTGCCAACAGCTCTCTTCTTTGTTTTCACTTCTCAATGAAGTGTTTTTCACAAGGTTCAGATATATATACCTTTGTTTTAGGCCACGCAAACAAAACGCAGCAACCATATGATGTCAAGGACGACGATGTCAAATAGAATAAGGAGGTATGTGTGTATGAGTACACTATACATTTTCTCACACACATGTCAAATGTCGTCTTCCATCTGTTTGGCACCCTGAGATTTTCCCAAGATCGGGGGGGGAGGACACAGCCTAAGCTCTACAAGCTATGAAACACATTTACACCACGAAAATAAATTCCACGCAACGTTTTCAACTCTTTTAAGGCTGCTACCAGAGAAATATTGACGTTCCACCGTCAGTTCAGGTCTGCCAATGGCGGTATAATAAAATACGCTTTGATTTACAGTGTTTAAATGCAACCAAAATTGCATGTCAAGATGCTGTGCAAAGCAGTTGGACTTGTGGCTTATGGAGATGGGGGATGGGGGGGTATCTGTACAAATATAAATGTTTTTTACAGAAGGGACAGCAAGCCACAAGCAGAGAAGAATATATTGCGCCTGGACTTAACAGGCACAGGGAGTCGCCAGCACAGATGGCACAGGGAGAGTGACTTACACGAGAGACGGGCAGCAGAGGGAAAGGAGTGACCTCCCACTTTGCAAAGGTTTACTGGGGACTTCGACATAAACCCTTGATGAGTACTGGCCAGAACTTATAAAAAACATGTCTAGACACTTAACCTTTATATTGTTTTTTTTTTTACTATTGTAGCTTCATTTTAATAAACCACAATGACAGCAAATACGAAAACCCAATAGCAAAAGACACAAATTGTAACTGAATGAACATACATTAATCAGATAAATATCTAACATCCAAAAAGGCTCCAATGAGTAGCAGCCAATATGTAGCCAATTTCTTTAAAAAAAATAAACGTTAACACGATTGTAGTTTAAGTACTTTTTTTTGAAACCGTAATGATACCAGATATGAACGCGCAACAGAAGCAGAAAGAAAGACACGTCGCTAGATTAAACAAATTATGAAAATAGAATTCTGGCTGCCAAGCGGCAGCAAGGGGAAAACGATGTTTTATTAAGAAGCTGCAGCTGGGCACTCATCAGGACCAACGCCACCATCACGTTTCGGTTGGTCCCCGGCCACCAGCCGTGGCTGTTCCCTTGAGTAACGCAGCGGCATGGAGGCATGGGGGAGGAGGGGAGAGGGGTACAGGGAGAAGTTCCGGCTTGGAGATCGCATTCACACAGCCAGACACTCGCGCCAATAACTTGGCGCGTCTAATTGTGCTGAAAACAGGAAGCATGCTAATGATGACGCCATGTGAAATCGACGTTATTTATTTATATGTCCGCTTATTTATTTATTCGCACGTTTGTCAGCCGGATCTTTTGGTTTTGATGCTCGCGCCGCATGCGCACATTTGGAATGTCCGATGGGAGCGTGCGTGGGTGCGTGGGTGTGTGGGTGGGGACGTGGGTCCGTGGGTGTGTGGGTGCGTGCGTGGGTGTGTGGGTGCGTGTGTGGGTGCGTGGGTGCGTGGGTGTGTGGGTGGGTACGTGGGTGCGTGTGGGTGCGTGTGTGGGTTCGTGTGTGGGTGCGTGGGTGCGTGTGTGGGTGGGTACGTGGGTGCGTCTGTGGGTGCGTGTAGGTACGTGCGTGCGTGCGTGGGTGTGTGGGTGCGTGGGTGGGTGTGTGGGTGTGTGTAGGTGCGTGCATGCGTGGGTGTGTGGGTGCGTGCGTGGGTGCGTGTGTGGGTGGGTACGTGGGTGCGTGCGTGCGTGGGTGTGTGGGTGCGTGGGTGCGTGCGTGGGTGGGTACGTGGGTGCGTGCGTGCGTGGGTGGGTGTGTGGATGCGTGCGTGGGTGGGTGTGTGCATGCGTGGGTGCGTGGGTGGGTGGGTGCGTGCGTGGGTGGGTGCGTGCGTGGGTGCGTGCGTGGGTACGTGCGTGGGTGCGTGGGTGGGTGCATGCGTGGGTGGGTTCGTGGGTGCGTGGGTGCGTGCGTGGGTGCTTGGGTGGTTGCATGCGTGGGTGCGTGCGTGGGTGGGTGGGTGCGTGGGTGGGTGCGTGCGTGGGTTGTGCAAAGTCAGGAATATAATGCGATGCTATTAAACGTGTGGCCTATTTTCGATTTATAAATACTCATCGTATGAGTACAAAGTGTTTTCAGAATTAACATTGCAAAGTTGAATCATGCTGAGTGAAGGGTTCTCTACATCACAGTCAGCCTTCATGGCCCCACGATGCTACGATCCATCTTGCTCCTGCACATCGAGCTGATCTCATTACTTCATCTCCATTGGGATAATCTCCGCAGAATCACCAATCTCTTCTGTTGGCAATCAACCACGAGCAATGTAAGCTTTCCAAACACACTTACTTTTCCGAACGGTCCCACATTATGTCTCTCTGACTTGTGTATGCTCTCTGTGATCCATCACCTCCTCTTTCTTCTATCACTGTACTGGGATTCCTAACATGCACCCCTCCATGCCAGTGATGGCACTTTTCACCTTTGTGCAAACAGAATATTTATTTATACTGGAGAAATCCAATGAGCTGTAAAGCCCTTTTGCAGAGATGTCCAGTAGGGGCGGGTCAGAACGTTATAACAAAAGTACAAACACATTATTAGGACTGTGAGCGGTGGAGATGACTTAGGGTGGCCTTTATTCAAGAATATAATGGCTGATGATGAAAGTGCAAACAGAATAGTCTGATAAGCAAATTTTACAATGACACAGGTTTACCACTTTTGCTAAAACACATGTTTTTTCAAAGTGCCGTGTCCCACTCGTATCCACTCTATTTCTCTGGCCTACGTGCTGTGAAGAAGGTCCATTGCCTGACACGGCACCTTCGATATACTTTTTCCTTCTAAGGCCAGAGTGCTATTGACAAATGTGTTTGTTTATTGTGCTTGTGCACCGCTACCAATGTCGTATGACCAAAACACGGATGATATTTGATTACTTTAGAATATTACTTATTTGTAATGTTGAGTGATTCTGCACAAAAAATAAAAAGCTTGGATGAATATGAATATTCTCACGTATAAACATGCAAAATAATAAAATGCAACCGTGATTTATATAATTAGATTCTATGCATGGGTGAAGTGTGCATAAGTGAGCGCATATGTTGTGCATGTACACGTGTGCATGTACATGCACAAACATAGACCTGCCACCGAAAATTAATACTTTCCAATACAATCAGCCGTGATGGCAGCTCCTGTGAGCTAGTCAATTGACGTTAATTATTTTTCCTGAAATAAAACCCAAGTCTGCACAGGAAAGGCCAGCGAATGGATGCCACGTCGATTTCTGCGCAAGACTCAGCACCGTGCATCCACACACCAGAGGCAGATTATATCACGCGCGCACGCTATTCTAGCATCTGCGAAACAATTTATTGATGCTATCTTTAACAATCTCCCACAGAAACAGTCGCATATTTTGTGTGGGAGACAAAGAAAAAAACCGTTGTAAAAGCGCAACTTGTATGCATTATAATAAAAAAGGCAACGCTGCTCCGGTCGTTTGGAACCGCATCCCGCCACACGCACGCAGCGGCATCGAATCCACCGCCACTGTGAAGGGACCGCTGTAGGCTGGGCCACTGTTTCCATCGGGCGTGTGGGGGACCTTAAGGTCGACCCCGCGCCTCCGAGTCGCGACTGGAAATGTCCTTACAGTTTTCGTCAAGATGTGCGCGCTATAAACTGTCATATTTATTTACGAAGCTAATCACTTGCAAAGCTGTGCATGAATTATCACTAAAGCTGCTTTTGCATATTTGTTTTTGT